GATGCACAGCTTGTGAGGCAGCAGGAGAGGGTGGAGGGGAAGCCAGCCACTGATTCCCGGAATTTATTTCGAGACACATTAATTTGTTTCTTCCCTTCAAGGTCAAATCAAGCCATCTCCATATATCACCACTGGCAGCGGCTGGCTGGCAGGCAGTTGGGAGGAGGAGGGGGTGCGCTGCAGATAAGACTTTCCTGCGCGCTGGTCAAGGGAGTGGGCGGGGAAACAGGCTCTGAGTGTCCTGGCTCAGCGTCACCTTTGAGGTGAGAGCCCAGGAACAAACAACATTCCTCTGTCCTTCCACTGGAGATCCCCTGGGAAGGGCCACATCATCGGTTTTGATGACAAAGCTTGCGTCTTTAAGCTGGAAGTTCTGCAAGCTGAAACGAGCCCGGTTTCTGGGGTTTGAGATTGTGCCTTTGGCTTAATTTCCCAGGGCGACTCAAGCTCACCGTTCATTCATTCATCTGTTCATTCAATTCGTATTTGTCACGTGATGCATTAACCGTCGCACTTAGCATGGAAGACATTGGGGTGGACAAGACAGAGAAAGCCCCTTCCCTTTCGGAGTTTACCTTCTAGGGTGTGGCCGTGGCTGCGCTGTATGTTGAGGGCAGCTTAGATTTTAACATGCATGTGAGTTTGCAGCCAAGCAAGCACAGTCCTGAGAAGAACTTCGGGGTCCTTACAGGGTGCGATGTCTGTCATAGTCAGTGATCAGACCTGGGCGGTGGAGTGTGAGGGGAAACCTGGGGAAACTGTAGTAAGAAGGAGGTGGCCAGGCACAGAGCAGGGGGCAGAGTATTGGTGACCAAAGGAACGGAAAGTGCAAAGGCCCCAGGGTGAATATGAGTGCAGTGTGTTTCAGGGACAGAAAGGAGGCTTGTGGGTATGAACAAGAACAGGAGCCATGGGAGGTGGGAAGTGACAGGGCCGGATCATGCAGGGCTTTGAAGGCGGTGGAAAGGGGTTCAGGTTTGATTTGCTCAGTGCATTCATCCACGCATCCGTGAATACGAGTGCCTTCTGTGTGCCTGGAACTGTGTCAGGAGTGGCAGGTACAGTGGAGACCAACAGGCTGTGGTCTCTGCCTTTGAGAGACTGTAGTCTAGCAGGGAACGGTCCAGCCCTCCAGTGAAGGCTCGCTCTCCCGAGATACTTAAATAAAGCCATCGCACCCTCCATCCCGTGCCCTGGGTGTGAGATCGGTGATGTCTCAGGAGCTGCTTTCTCATGGTCCCTTCTCCCTTCAGGTTCCTGCCCGTGGAGAAGTCTCCTCTCCATTCCTCTTGCTCTGGGTGGTCCCCAGACCACCCAGATGAAGCATCCATGGTGCATGTGCTTCCCTAAAGTTTGGGCTGGTCGATGAGTTGTATATCTCAATGCAGAGAATTGGAAGTTGAATATCGTGCCTCCTGTTTTAGGATCTGGGTCCCACCACCTGGCTCTCCTCCCTGGTCACCTCTTGGTACAGGGCATCCCCCACCACCCCCTGGCCCGAGAGACCCCGCTGGGGTAAATCTGTGTGGTCCTCCATACCCTTGGTCTTGGCACTGCTGATGGGCGGGCTCTCCACTCTACCCACTCGGGCTCTCACCATTCACTGGCCTGAAACTGGTGATGTAACAGCTTTGTTTTCCTCCTCCTCTCACCAGGCTCTCAGAGCCAAAAGAAACAGTAACCCGACACCCAGCACAGCGCCTTGTATGTGGTAGGTGCGCAGAAACTGTTGAACAAACATCAGTAAGTATTACCAGAAAGGGGACCAGGCCCGGAGTGGGTCTGCCTCGGGCCAGCTGGGTAGTGCTGAAACCCGAGGTCACCTGAGTCCGGGGGCCCGTGCAGCCTGTCACCGCGCAGCCAAAAAGCAGAGACAGGGATTGGATTATAATTGTGTTTTTATTAATATCAGATGCTGGTGATCTGAAATGGTGGCAGAAGGTAAAAACCCCGACATCCACCTTCCCTTAAGCTTGTCCAGAGCAGGTCTCTCTAGGGGGAGCGTCGGGAGGGAACGTGGCGTGGAGCACGCGGGGCGCCCGGAGATGTGTGGTCCCAGAATTTGAGTGCCTGCGGGGTTTCGGCCTTGATGAGTATCTTCTTACTGGTTTCTGGAACAGGATGGTCATCATTCTGATAAGAATCTCAAAGCCATCGAGTGGTGGTCTGGTTTGCGTCATCCCAGTGTTTCTGGGAGTTTCTGGGAATGCAGTCGACCAGCCTCCTCCGCATTCCTGGTGACCCAGGGTGGGAGTTCAGGGCTGAGTTAAAAGTGCCTTGGTTCATTCCTGGTCCTCTGCTAACTGCAGCAGAATCTCAGCCAGCACGTAAGGTTAAACATGTACATTTGATTAATTGGTTCCATAGCCTGTTAGCAATCATCTAAGGCTATAATGGAGAGAAAACACAGCTGGCCCTAAAAAGGATTTTAGCTCCATTTCCCTATCAGCGTGTGGTTTCTAGACACGAGTCCAGGTGACTCTGAGGGTAAGTTTATTTAAGCTGGGGAGGCAGTGAGGCAAGGAGGGCCTAGGAGAGAAGAAGCAACAGGGGAGCCAAGGCGGGGCCGCTTGGGCTCCCCGGAGAGTCAGGGAAAAGGGGGCCTTGGAGACAGGTTCAGGGGAGGAGCCTGGGGTGAGCTGCCGCTGCCCACTGCTCCCCTGGCTGCCAGTCTCGCGGGTCCCTTAGAGTTTAGGAGAAAGAAAATTCACTCAAAAACGAGATTCAAGTGAGCGTGCCCCAAGAAGGGCTTGTGCGGGGTCCTTGTCTGAGGGGTGTTATCTGCTTTCCAAAGGTGGAGAGGTGAGGGGGGGTCTTAGGGGAGCTCTCAACAGAATACTCGTCAGCAAGGGGTCCTGCCTGGTTTTGCTGCTTTTCTGGGCCTGGAGGAGGATGTTATCTCTAGGGGAGAAAAGGTCAGCAAAGGGTCCAACTGCCTGGCCAGCGAGAAAGAGAACAGTGTGTTCAAAGTTTAACAAGAGCAGGCCTGTCTGGTTGGAAGTAGGGAGGGAAGTGAGGCAGGGCTGGAGGGCAGGGTGGGCAGTTAGGGCAGGGTGGGGAGGGAGCTTGAGGACAGACCTATAATGCTGGGTCAGTCATGCATAGAAGCTTGCACTCAATCCTTTGAATAATGGGAACCATGAAAGGGTTTTAACAGGGACATACCTTTCGTCTTGGCTCATGTGTTTTCTCTGCCTGGGAGGAACCTCCCCCGCCCATCCCTGTTTGCTCAAATCCTACAACCCAACAGGAGCGTCCTCTCCTCTGTAAGCCATCCCTGACCCCCCGCTACCCCCACCCCCGCAAAGCCCCCACTGGAAACACCACCTCTCATCTCTTCCCACAAGTCGGTCGAACTTTGGTTATGCACGCTTATATTGTGCTTTGTTGGGAGAAGGGCAGGCGAGGTGATTAACAGTTAGCAGTGATGGTCCTGGGGACAGGCTGCTCGGCCTGTGGCTCTTGGGCCTGTGATCTGGGGCAGTACATCTAGCCCTTCCTTGTCTGCATCCTTATCTGTCAACTGGAGAGGAGAGGTGAACCTCATACACTTGTAGGGTAATTGAGTCTGTTACACACATAAAGCCCTCAGTACAGCGTCCGGCACACAGTAAGGATTTGGTGAGAGCCTGGCGTTCTGCGTTCTTCTGTCTGCCTTCCTCTGGTCTGTGGGCCCAGATTGTGGCTCATTGGCCACCAAATCCTGGCTCCTAGCACAGGACCGAGCAGAGTAGGTGCTCAGGAAATAGTCACTGACTTCTGCCGTTTGCGGGGGGGGGGGGGGCGGGGGGGGTTAGAGGTGCTCTCGAAAAGCAGCGCAGAAGCTCCTCACTAACTCTTCCAAGAGCCGACATCCGGGTTCGCCTTCTGCTGTCCCCACGCTGCTTACCGAGCCACCCCTTCTCTCTCAGCCTCAGCTCCTCCACAGTAAAATTAATACTTACTTCCCAGGGTGCTGTGGGATTAAATGGGATTGGCTCCAGGGATGGAGCATGTGATCCAGGCCTGGCCAATCAAAGCATTGATTTCAAGGGCTGTGGCTCAGAAATGGTCATGTGACCCAAGCTGGTCCAATAAGAATGACTCTAGGGCATATGACCAAAGCTCTTGGTAAAACCGCCTCTTTCCCCCCTGGGGACTGGAATGTGGAAGGATATGGGGCTGTAACGAGTGCAGTCATCTCGTGACCACATGAAAGGACATAGGGACATGGGGGCATGGAGGGCGAGGAGCTGGGGAGTCGGGGCAACAGGTAGGCAGGGAATACACCTCAGGACCAAGAGGTGGAGAGAAACTTAGTTCTGCTGACATCACTAGAAGCCTGACGGAACCTTCCTCCTGGACTTCTCAGCCATGTGTACCGATAAATACCCCCTTTTGCTTAAACCAGTCTGAGTGGGGTTTCCTGACCCCTGAGCATGGCCCTGGGCCCTTGGCAGCCTGCCCGCCCATCCCTCCTTCCCACCAGACCCTTGTTCTGTTCAGGCAGCAATGTTCCTGGCTTCAGAGGATAAATCAATATCGACCTAAGGCCACCATGGCCACCCCTTTCCCTTTTGCCAGGGATTGCTTCAGACTAGACATATGTCCCAGTTGCTGTGGATGTTTTTGTTTTTTGGGTTCTTTTTTTTTTTTTGGAATTTTATTTATTTGTTTAAATTGTTTTTAAATGATAGATTTTTATCTCACTGTTTCTGTGGGTCATGTCTGGGCACTGACTAGTCAGGTCAGATGTTTCATCAGGTGGAAGTCAAGGTGTCAGCTGAGCTACCAACAAACCCAGCTGAAGCCCCTCTGCCAGGCTTCCTGGTTATTGGCAAGATCAACTGTGTCTATGGCCCAGTTTTGGCCAATGAAATCAAGTTAGTCTGCTGAGAGTTCCTGGAAGGGATCTTGAGCTGATCAAAGAGAATGCCAGAGGAGAAGACCCTTTCCCCCTGCCTTCTCTTCCTATGCATTGTCACACGAGGATGAGATGCTCGGAGCGGCTGCAGCCGTCTTGCAAACATGAGGAGAGACTTTGTAGAATTGTCAGAGATGGCAGAGGAAAAAGATGGAAATACTCTGGGATTTTGGTGGCATCACAGCTGAAAAAATAATTGTGAAATCACGTATCTAGACTTCTTATAAAGGTGGGCAATAGATGTTTATGCCATTTAAGTCACTATTCATTGGGGTTATTATTGGCAGCCACAAACATTCTCTGTTGACATTGAAAATCTAAGTGGTATAGCATTTAATTCCTCAATCGAAAGAAACACACGAGGCTAAGAACATCAGCTCCTTTATTATTATTATTTACTGTTATTTTTTCCTAAAGAACAGCACAATTCCAATAACAATGATACACATGTCCCACCCCTATATACAATAACCACTATTTTGCCTGCCAGGCTGTCTGGCCTATGCTTGGTTCCTGGTGGAGCTGCCTGGAGACAGCCCCCTCTGTAAAAATCCCTATGAGGACATAGGAGACACGAGAAAGGGGAGACTTTAGCCAGAGGATAAATCAAGGGGCTTCCAGAGTCCTCAGGGAGTATCATCTTGGGGACATGCTATAGATGCTTGGGTGGAGGGCAGAAGGCACTATTTGTTTTCATCTGACTCTTGGATAAATCCCATTTGGGGGTGTAAGACCTGTCTATCACCCTTTGTAGGTCAGGGCCGCAGGAACACAGTGAGGTGGGCTCATGGGTGCCATCAACCAACCAGGGGGCAGGCACAGATAATCAGGAGCCCAAAATGGAATCTGGGTCATGCGAGGTCCCCAGAGAAAAGCAACCCTTGCATTAGTTGCAAGGTAAGATACAGTGTGAAATGTTATGTCCCCTTTTATATGCTTTGCAACTGTTGAATGTACAACATTTTTACCAAGATAGAAAAGGTAAAGGAAGAAAAATTCCCAGCATTTTGGCCTAACGCAACCGAGCATGACTTGCCAATTGCGCCCTCTGGTGCAAAAACCTAGTACTACACTATCCAGGGACAGGCCAAATTACCCTGACCCCCAACATTTTAGTCACACTAAATCTATGAGTTCAGCTAAGCAATGTATAATGTACCCTGGAATCAGAGAAGCCCTGGGGGTTGGCGGGGGGAAGGATGAGCCAAGACGGAGGTCTCAAGTGCAGGTGACTTCATGGCTGTCCTGGGGAAGCTCGTTGTTGAAGCTGCTCTCTCCAAACGTCGAGTAAGGGGGCACCTGGGGAGCTTCAATGATCAGCAGGCCCTCTGGGGACAGTGAGGCAAATACTGTTGCAGGGTCTACCTCCATAGGAAGCCTAGGAGAAGCACAAGGTTCTATTCATTTATTATTTCCATACAGCCTGGGACATTCCATTTTATTCCTTCGAAAGAAAATATTTTTGATAAGAACTTAGGCTGTGGAGGTATCCAGTGCTGGGTTTGAATCCTGGCCTCGCCCCTTTCTAGCTGTGCGTGTGACCCTGGGCAGGTCACTCAACGACCCTGAGCTTGTTTCCTCTTCTGCAAAATGGAGGTCACAATATTAAACCTGTACGGTATTTGCAGCTTAAGAATCCTCTGCAGAGAATCCGAACATGCTTCACAAATGGTAAAACGCTGCTCTGGCAGTAAGTTACAGGGGAGCCGTGGCCCACGTGTTTGACCCTTGGTTGAGGTCTCTGCTTAGCACCCATAGCTGACCAGCTGCTGGCCGAAATGGCTGCCACTGCCATCCCGATAGAGCCTAAGTAAGGAGTGACTCCCAGCAGGTGACACACTTTCATTTGCTGCATGCACGACTGGTGGAATTAGTGGTGAAAGAGGCGAGTTGGCAGTTAAAGGGGGTCAGGTTGGCTCCCTGGCTAGGCTTCAGATGCCAACGTGCTTGATGAGGTTTAGAATAAGCTGATTGGGGGCATATCTGAAGTATTTTGCAGTAGGAGACAATTGTCTTGTTCCCAAAACACATTTAAGGATGTTACCTAATTAGAGCTTTACAAAGGGCCTAGAATGGTTAATAGGTAGGAATTAATATGCTGGTTGCATAGAACATTTAAAAGAGACTTGGGGAAATTAAATGTCAAGCTCAGTGAGGGAGTGAGCAAGTGCCAAAGATGGGGGGGTGTCTGGACCCAGCCGTGGCTCCAGTTCTGAAGCCGTTTTTAAGATTTTTGGATTGTTTGGGGCGAGCGCGTCTCTCTGGGACATAGTTTCTTCAACAAACTGTTGGAGTCGTGAGAACAGTTCTTTGGGATGCCATTATTAATAAAAAATAATGACAACAAGGACCTCTGAGCATTTTCTGAGTGCCAGGCACGTCCCCTGAATCAGCTCCGTCAGCTGTTGACAGCAATCCCCACAGGCGACCCTCTTCCTATCCCAAATTTATAGATGGGCCATCGAGGTCCGAGAGGTGACATGGTTTGCCCAAGGCCACACAGCGGATGCGCAGCAGACGGGAATGGAAGTGGAATCCCGGTCTCTGAATTCGGAGTAGCTGCTGTGATGCTCTGCTGCATCTCTGGCATCAGACTTTTGAGAAGAGGACCATGGCTGCGGGGAGGGGTGGGCGGTTCAGTCACCACAGGGCTCTCCCGGCCCAGGCCCAGGCGGGCTCTGCCTGTTGTAAAAGCAAAGCTACAGGTCCAGAGGAGAGAGCGCAGCAGTGAGGAAAGCCCGTTCCTGGTCATGGGCAGGGCCCTTCCTGGAGGGGCTGGGGAGTGATGTGCTGTGAACAGCAACCTGGAGCCCCATGGGCCGGATCTGCCCAGGAGAGGCCTGCCAAATCGGAGCCCCAGACATTCACAAGGGGCCTGCTGGGAAGGAGGGAAGAGATGAGGGGGCTTGGGAAGCTGCCAAGTGGAGCTGCTAGGCTGAAGCAGAGGCCGGGCCAAAAGTTTGGACCACCCCCTGGCTGCTGCGGATGGGCCAACTCTGTTTAACCACTTGCACGCCAACCCAATGGACGCCTGGTGCCACGTGGCCGGGTAGCCGTGGTCCCGAGCGTGGGCATCGCAGGAGGGCTGACCTGAGTTCTGGCCCTTTCTCATTGTGTGACCTTGAGCTAGTGATCTCGCTTCCCTGAACCTACTTCCTGCTGGGACAAGGGGGTCATAAAAGCATCTGCCTCTTAGGGGGAGCGAGAATCCTGTGCCTGGCACACAGGAAGTGCTCGAGGATGAGTGTTAGCACCCATGTTGCCATTGCAGCCGTGGGCCCTGCGGGCAGGCAGCTTGGCAGCTGTAAGTGTTTTAGTGCCAACAGCCATATGACTGAACCAGAGAATGTCAGAGCCCCCAAGAATCTTCTAATTTTCCAGGACAACGCTCTCATTTCACACATGGGGAAACTGAGGCCCTGAGGTGGGGATAGACTGGGTCAAGGTCTCTGACCAGGTTGACCTGGTTTGGTGCTTTTGATAAGGTTAGTTCCCACAGACTGAGCCCTGAGTCTCTCCCCCGTGTTAAATGCTTCACGCACATCCTCTCGTTCCCATCGCGGCCTGTCCCTGAGGAAGCTTAGGGACAGAAGTGCCGTTCAGTGGAGCCAGGGCTCCCAAACCAGGGGTAGGGTTAAAATATCAACAGCAGCAGCAAAATAGCAACAACAGGCAGCGGGACAGTGACCTGCCAGAATGAAGGTCATGGCACGGTGATGGAGGAGGGTCCTGGGGACTCTTGTAGTTGCTGGGATGTGGGGGGCTTTCAAGGGTCCTGGGACTGGGCCCGGCTGCCTGAGTGGCTGAGAAGGGCCCTTGGGGTGCCAGGGCAAAGGCTGGTCCAGTATTGTAACAACTAGCCCAGCTCAGCGGCGGGGCCCCAGCCGATGAGCAGCCCTGCCTCTAGCAGCTTTGGCATTTCTATCTGGTCAGCTAACCCCGCAAGCTGTTTTCCCGGGGGCCTCAGAGACGGCGAACCCAGGAACCCAGGAAAATGGCCATCTCTGTAAGATGATTAATCCGCCAACCTCTTTCCAGCTCAGCCCCTTGCACGGCCTTGTCCTGCCTGCGACTCCATCGGGAGACCTTATTTGAGCCTCCCTCCGCCTCCTTTTTCTCTTTCATTCCCCTCTTAGCAACGTTTGATCTTGGGGATGGCAGGCGAGCCAGTGAGCGCAGAGAAAGTTTGGCGATCGCCTTATCGGGAAGTGTCCAGGGCTTCTAAGAACCCAGAGGCGGTGGGTGGGCCTGACATTGGACAGAACCTCCCTGCACTGAACATTCTCGCAGCTAGATCTTCACACCCAGCCACGGGCAGAATCCCGACGCTGAGAGAAGCCTCGGAATTCACCTGATGCCATCTCTCTAGACCAGACATGGGCTAACTTTTTCAGGGCTGGGGGTGGAGTTAAGATTCAATCACAGCGACCATAACAGTAATAACCAGCTGCACTTGCAAGGAGCTCAGGTCCCAGGCACCTCCCTGCCCTCCCCACCCTCCCCCACCCTACACACACCCAGAAACCCACAGGCCACTTACTGGATTTTCTTGGTGAAGTTCTTGGACACGATGCCGCCTTCTTGCTGCTTCTCTTCGTGTTTGCCTGGAAGGGAGAGGAAGGCCACATGTCAGGATCTGGTCCCCCGGGCTCCCACTGTTGAGGACCCAGGCTGGCATCGAACCGGGCCCTGTCCCTGGCTCACTGCGTCACTTGGGGCTTGATCCAGAGGCTCCAGTTGTCGGAGCCTCCGCCCCCGCTGCCGCCCCCCCCCTCCGACCCCGCCTCCCAGGCTATAGAGCTGATCAACTAAGACACCAGACAGGACAGGAGGCCTAGGCTGCAGTTGGTAGACAATTACATGTTTGTCTGAGGAAATGACAGAAACTGGACTATGTTTCATTGTATCTGCTAAGCCTCCTACTTGATACCACTCACTCCCCTAACCAGCAAGCAGAACCCTGAGCCTCACCTCCCAGATTGGGCAGCAGGGAAGCAGGAGGCTAGTTTGCCACCCAGCTCGCTTCACCACTCACTGAGCCCTTTCCCAGCTCCCAGGATGTTTCTTTCTCCCTTGGGTGCAGATGTGGAAACTGAGGCCCAGTACGGGGTCCAAGGACACCAGCAGGGGCGCGGCAGCCCTGGGCTCGGGACCGGCTCTCTCAGAACCTAAGCCAGGGGCTGGAGTCTGATACCTCTCTGCCCGTCCCAGCTTCCAGCTGGCTCTCTGAGTCACAGCACGTGGACCAGGCACTGAGAGAGTCGCCTGGAAACCATGCTTCAGCTGCTGACAGAAACCGCCTGCCTCTCTGGAGGGGCCCCTCCTTAAGAAAGGACATTGGGCACCAGGGGTGTGAAGCTCCTCCTGCCCCACCCCCTTCAGGGTGCAGGGGAGCATTTATTTTATTTCATTTCTTTCCTGAGGAAGGAAAAAGATGAAATTACAAGGAGGCCTGGGCCGCAAATGGCTATCACATTGCAATTTATATAAGACATTCTAAGCCTCTTGGCCCTTCCCTATTCTTGTTTTTTTCAGAGGAGAGAGAGTCTCTAATTTCTCTTTGAACAAAGAATTAGTGCCCAGCGGGGCCATGCGCCGCAGCCTCATTCGTGGGCCGGCATTCCGGGGCCAGGGACCCTCGCTTACACAGGGGCGCCCTGCCGGGGGGCTCGGGGATCTGGACTGAGAATGACCCCGCGGGATCTAGCGTTTCTCCTCGGTCCAGGTTTCGAAAAGCTGGCAATTTATAGGTGATTATATTATTATTTGCCTTTTAATTATTTATTACTCTCCCTTTCTTACTTTTTCCCGATTACCAAATAGTGCATTGTATGTTAGGAAGTGTGGAAAATGAAGAGAAAATCAGTTAAAACCACCCATAATCCCATCGCCCTGAGAAAACCACTGACATTTTTATATACATCCCAGACTTCTTTCTATTCCTTAAAGGCGCATAAATGTTATATCGTATAGTTGCATAGCATACATTCTATCACATGAGATCACAGTATACACTGCACTTGAAGCCTGTTTTTATGTCTTGCTAACACATCGTTATAATTTTTCTGTATTATGGCAAATGTTCTTCAGCGTGGTTCTCCGTGGCGGCGCGGCAGTCACTGCGGGAATACGTACGGTCACGCAGCCAGTGCCCAGCCTTTGGGCACTGGGGCAGTTCCTGACGTTGGACAGAACCTCCCTGCACTGAACATTCTTGCAGCTAGATCTTCACACCCAGCCTGGTGACTTCTTTAGGATAAATTCCAAGTTCTAGAATGTCTGAGCTTTCACCTGTACTGCTAAATCCCCTCAGAAAGGGCAGCATCCATTTGTTTGTTCCACCGGCTGGGCAGAAAGGGGCACATTTATAGGAAATCGTTTTGAAACTGGAGCGTTGGGCTCACCAGAACATGCTATTCTGTGAATGTGCTGATGCTCTGAGAGTTTAGTCTGACCTGCCAAGTCGTGACCACCAACTGCCCAGCACACAGGCGGGTGGCCAGAGAGCACTGTCTGTCCGCTGGTACCCTCCCCAGAGCCCGGGCCTCCGGACGCCCGCTTCCCCTGGGGACGGGCCAGTGCCTCTGACTCAGTCCTTTTGCACAATTGGTATCCTAGAACAACAGAGGAGGAGGAGGAGGAGGAGAATAGCAAACTCATAAGCACACTTGGGTGTCAGCCGCTGTTCTAGGCAACTTACCTATATCACAATAACCTTGGAAAGCACGTGCTTTTGTTATTGCTAGTTTGTGGACAGGGAACAGAAGCTCAGAGAGGTTACCTCACATGCCCAAGGTCATACAGCTTGGGAGAGCTGAGGCCAAAGGTTGAAGGCAGGTGTGTGGGCTTCGGACCTGAGTCCCTGCTCTGGCATGTGCTGGCACCTCTCTGCTTCCCTCGGAGCCCCCATTCACTGTTCTCTAAAATGAGGGCAACGACAGCATCCTTCTCAGGTTACCCGTGAGGCGCGAGTGAGAGCGAGTCACAGGACTGCTTTGTGTGTCGTGTGAAGGTAAATGGCTGTGGTTCAGTTTGATGTTTGGGGGCAGGGCTGCTCCTCAGAAGCCAACCCCCCCCCGCCCCCCCCGCCCCCGTCCGCCAGGCGCTGGGGTTAAAGGAGCTGCTCTCTGGGTGGGGCCAGCCCCAAGGTTTCCCCAGGGAAGCCTGGAGAGGGGGTTAATCTGGCTGAAAGAAGGTGTTAGGAGTTGCATCTTGAAGCTTAATTTGCATGTTATTTGAATACCTATTAGGGGCAGTTGAAGGCTTGTGGGTGATTTTTAATCTCATTTTGCTGTCTTATTTTGCTGTTTACATTTTCTATGTGGAACTATTTGATTTTTATAAACAGAAAAAGTAATTATTGTGATTAAAAATGGGGAAAACGAAAGAGAGCAGTCCTCTGAAAGCCGGGGGAGCTGGAGGCCCCTGGCAGCCACCGGCCACTCTCTGAATGCCCCGCACTGGGCGCCAGCACCTCAGGGCCGTGCTGGCCCAGCTAAAGAAAGCAGGTGCTGGCACTGGGGCCAGCAGAGGCCCTGGGACTAAGGAGAGGGGGCTGGCAGAAGGTCTCAGGGGCTTTCCAGTCCCTTCCTTGGCCAGCGCCTGGCCCAGTGGCCCAAGAAGGGAACATTTCTTGGCTGGTGGCTGCAGGGCGGGGCGGGAGTGTGTGAGGCATGATGGAAATCTTCTAGTTCAGCATCCTCCAAACACTTCCCTGGAACCGGACACTCGTGCATGCTCAGGGGAGGCAAGGCAGCCTCTCAGAGATTCACAGACGACATTTAGCAAGCTCAAGGCTCTGAGAAGTCCCACCGCCAGGAGACCTGGTTTCAATTTTGTTTCACCTGGCATCTTCAAGAATGCTGGACCCCTTACACCGTCCATTTCTCAGAGGCCTAGTGACCCCTTAAAGCACGCTGTTTGGCGAATACTGGCCTAGTCCACCTGCTCCTGAGACCAACGGTAAAGCCGAGGTAGGAAGTGGTAGGCAGGATTTGCCGCAGGCCACACAGCCAGAAGCAGATCCAGCTGTGCTGACTGGGAGCTGTCTGTAGGCCTGGCTTTGAACCTCAGACATTGCTGTGGGGAAGCGGGTGATCTCAGGTGAGTTACACTCTCTGGGCCTCAGTTTCCTCATCTGTACAATGGGTATAACAAATATACCCATACTTCCTTAGAATTCCATGGGAGGAACTAGCGGGCCAACTATGTAAGTTCTTGGCGCAGTGCCCACACGGGTGTTTGGGGAAGAACAGGTCTGTTGTTGCGTCACACAGGGTCAGGGTCAGGGTCAGGGGTAGCTCTGACTTCTGACTTCCTGAGGAAGTTGCTCTTTAAATGGAGCCTCTGATGCCGATCAGATTCTTTAGACCTCTTTTATGAGAGTCTCTGTACGTACTCTCTGGGGATATGGAGTCTGTCATGCTGAGGTTGCTAAGTGAACGCATGTGAGAATTTTACAACCTAAAAAGGCTTTGTTCATTTAAGTTCCTCGGTGACCCCATTTTACAGATGTGGAAACTGAGGCTCCATAACTCATTCAGAGCTTCTGGATTAGTAAGGTTCTTAGCTGGGACCTCAGCTTGGAGCTGCCAGATCCCCCTTGTTAAGAAGCCCCTAGAAAGAAGGATGGAGAAGAAGCCCCCCAGGCTGGTAGAGGTCTTCTGGAAGGGCCGCAGGGCACAGGGTGCCCTCCAACCTGGGGTGGAAAACTCTGGGACCCTAACTGAAACATAGAGGGAGCGGTGACAACTGACACCCTGTTTACAGAGTGCCAGGCAGGCAGCATCATTAGCTCCATTTTACAGACATTTATTATGTATCGTCCGCATTTATTTAATCTTCCTCACAGCCTTACAGGATGGATATTATTATCCCCACTCTGCAGATGAAGAGCCTGTGGCTCAGGGTGGTGAAAAGACTTCCTTGCTTATATCCATCCAGAGAGTAAAGGGCGGAGCCAGGATTTGAACCCAGGTCTCCGAGACCATCTACCATTTGATGATTTGTTGGGGTTTCACTGTGTGGCCGGCATTTGAACCACAACATTAACTTCAATAGCAGTACCGACCTGTTGTGTTTCAGCATCCACACAGCGCACGCCTCACCTCATGTAACACAAGCGTCCTTATGCCGTGTAGCCCTTTGAACCCCGGTTTCTGGACTAGGCAACAAGCAGAGGGACGCTGAGATGTGTGCACATCCTGCTGGTTCGTGGTGGAGCCAGCGTAGAACCCTGGCCGCTCCCCTTCCTCTGCGGGTGGCCCCCGCCTGTCCCAAGCCCACCACATCCACTGGAACCTCTGAGGTTCCTAATTCCGACCTGCCAGGCTTTGAAACTGCCCCAAACACCACCCTGCCAGGGCTTGTCCCTGCCCAGCCTGCATCTGCAATGGCTTTTATTGATTTTTCCGGACGGCAGAGCCTGCCGGGGAACACACTGTTTAATGGAGCTTTAATTGGGAGGGAAGCAACAGAAAGCCTCTCCTTCCAGGGGCTGAGACTCCAGTCTCCTCTATCCCGCTGCTCAGAGCATTCCCACTCCCCAGCGGGGCCTGCAGGGACCAGGGCCTTGCGCCTGGAGGCTTGGGCAGGCCCAGCCTCTTCCTGCTGCTGACTCACAGCGTGACCTTGGGCAAATCCCGCCGGGGTCCCACTCTCAGCTGTGCAATGGGACTAGACACCCCTGCTTCTCAGAGTGGGGGTTACTGGCGAGAAGGAATATGAGTTTACACCCAGCCTTTCGTGCCTAGTAGGTGCTTAAATGACCAATTCCCAGACAGCCTGGATCTGACTCTCTGGTGGCCTTGAGAGAGTTACCTTAACCTCTCTGTGCCTCAGTTTCCTCATGTGTAAAAAGAGAGACCAGCAGGACCCACATGCCCTGGTCGTATTAACCGAGATGCTACAACGAGAGCCCTTAGTGTGGCGTCTAGTAGTCACTAAGCGCTCAGTCAGGGTCACCAACGTTAAAGTGGCTGTGAAGCCTCAGTTTTCTCACCTGGGACAAGGGGAGCATTTCTGGAAACCTCTCTGGTTATTAACAGTATCAACACCCAGCATCAAACACGCCCTCCTTGACTATGCTGTGTGGCTGGGGTGCCAGGAACCCCACTTCTTCTTGGTCTTTTCATCCCCTCTCTATCTGTTTCAGTTCCTCTTTGCATGACATTCTCTGTCGAAACACCCGGGGTGGCTTCCATTTCCCTGCCTGCTCTCTGGGTGACAGGGCCCTGGGGCCCGCAGCCCGGCCAGGCTGAGGCCCCTGGACGTCAGGAGCGGAGAGTTCTTCCCTGCAGATAACCTCTGCGGGCTGCATTCCTGAGCCCTGAAGTCACCTGTGTCCTGCTGTCACAGCTTCCCCTCTAAGGAAAAGTCCCCTAGGCTCTCCCCAGCGCTGGGGCTCACAGCCCCCACCCGCTTCTCCCTCCCTCCTCATCCCCACTCACCAGACACTTCAACGTATCTGTCCTTGGTCTTCACCATCAGCTCCTCCGGCTTGAAGCTGTGCACGTTGACACACACTTTCCAGGGCTCCCCGGGGAAGGGCGGGGGGCTCCTGCCGTCAGCAGGCACCCCGAACCTGGACGTGGTGGCCGGCACGCGGGGCACAGTGCCCGGCCTCAGGGAGCCCGGCCAGGCTGAGGAGAGTCGAGGCAGGGCCCAGTCGGGCCACCCGGCAGCCAGGTCGTCGGGGAAGGGGTCCATGCCAAAGCCATCGTCCAGCAGGCTGCGGGAGGAGAGGGGCGAGTCCCGGAAGGGGTCTCGGCGCAGGCGGCTCGGGTAGTGGCAGGAGAAGGGCATCTGGCCATCAGCCATGGCAGCTGCCGGGAGGGAGCGCACACGGAGGCTCGGAGAGAGGGGCCCACCTGCCTGCGCTCACACAGCAAGGTGACGTGGGCGGGCTAGCCTTCCACACTTCGAAACTCGCTGAACCGCCTACTGCCAAGGGCAGAGGTGCGCACCAGGCTGGGGTCCCAGCCCCCAAAGACACTGCAGCCACTGAAGGCGACCCCGGGCTGGTCCTGCAGGATCCCAGAGAGCCCCTGTCCACGCCGCCTCACCAGAGATCCGCCAGCCGCTGTCCTCCCGGGCCGTCTGGGCTGGCAGCCAGGGCCACCGAAGCCGAGAGTGGAGCCAGGCGCTTAATAACCCCCGGGACGTAGGCCTAGAAACTTCTCCCGGCTTCTGGGCTGGGAACCTTGTATATATTGCCGCTGGGGTTGGGGGCGGGTTTTGCAAGCGCCTCCTGTCACAGGAGTATTCGGAGGTGATGAACTGGCCCCGGAGAATCCGTGGTGGGGCCGGCTGGGCTCCCAGGGGGCTGGGAGGGGCCTGGGCGTCTAGCTCAGCCAGCCTCTCGGCCAGTCTCTCCGCCCCCAGCCCGCTCAGCCCCGCCCTGCGCTGCCTCCCCCGGAGCCCGCCCTCTCGAGCAGGACACTTCAGACCTGGCTATTAATAACCCTCTGCCTGGCTGAAGGCGCAGGTCACCCTCTGCAAATACTTTCCCCAGGGTGCGCTGCATCCTGCCTGCCCCTGGGGACCTATAGAGGGGCCGAGAGGCCCGGGAGCCCCGCAGATTGGAGGGCGATGGCCCCGGGCGGGCTCTCAGCACTTCCTTCAGTGTCGCCTGAGGGCGGGCGCGCTAGTCCCAGGCATCTCTCAGCGGACGGTTTTCCCACCTGTGAAGTGGGCCTGGCAGCAGCCGGCTCGCTGGGGGGCGCGGCTGCCCACTGTGTGCTCGCAGGTTGGAGCGTCCCCCCTTTCAGCCTGGAGTCCCCAGTTCCCCAGCGCCGCTGGGTGCCCGCTCGTGCTTCACACATTTTAACTCGCTTCCTCCTCCCCGACAGCCCTGTGACCAACGGGTGCTAACATCATCCCCCTTTACCGATGAGGAGACTGCCGTGGGGCGTGGTAACTAAGGGTGGCTTTTATCGTGACAGTGACTGAATCATGACACTGAGCCACAGGTGCGGTACCCACACGGGGTCAGCAAGGCTTCTTGCTTTTGGGTTCCAGCGTCTGATCTGTCCCCGACAGGTGGGCAATCCGAGGCCTGCTGTTCTCCCTCTGTGGGCTTCTGGGTCTCGGCCTCGCTTCCTCGAGGCGGGGTGGGGTGCGGTGGGGGGTGCTAAGGAATTCAGTGAGTCATTCCCTGAGAAATTGTTCCAATGATAATCAGTGCCCGCATGAGGCAGTTTGCTAAAAATAAGAATACGGAGGATAGCGACAGCCCCATCCTTTGCCGCCGCCTCCTGTGTATCTGCCGCTGCCGTGGGCAGCTGCGGGCACTGTGTCATTAGCTTTCCCAACAACACGCAGGTGTTCCCCCCACCCCCGTTTTGCAGCCGAGGAAACAGGCGCAGAGTTTGGCCCAAGCACCCAGTGATTGGGGCGGCGGGACCAGGGAGGAGTTGTGCGCGGTTCTGCATCTCTGACCCCTGCTGAGCTGAGTGCCCCAGACCCCCCACCCGCCTCGCCTTCCAGCCAAGGGAGGGAGACTGAGCCGCCCCCACCCCACCCCTCCACCACTACAGCCGAGTGACTGGGTCCCCACTTGACTGGGGTGAGATCATCAGGCCAGAAGCTTCAGGCTGACGTCACAGCTGGGCACAGAGGCCTCAGCGCTCTCTGTAGCTGCTGCTGGGGTGAGGCTGGCTGGGTGTGGAGCCAGGATGGGGAGGCGGGCTGCGTGACCCAGAGGGGAAAGCTGGCCTGCCCGGGGGCCGGGGTGCGGGCTCTGTGTGGGTGGGCCGGGGTGCGGGCGGCTGGGCCCCGATCGGGCTTGCCTGTGGATCTGAGGGAGTGGTGTGTGTATGCTGGGCTGTGTTTCTTTGTGGGGTCTTTAGGTGGGATTATTTGGCAAGACCACCTCCTCTTGGGGCCTCCGTTCCACAGCCCCACGGAGCCTGGGGTAGGAGTGGGGGGCGCCACCTCAGTGGCCTCACCTCCCTTCCGCTTTAGGGGACACTGGCAGCACCAAGCCCTGGGCAGGGGAGGCCGGGTGCGCAGCTAGAAATCAGACCTACGCATCGTTAGCGTTTACCTGGCACTTTCCACGTGCCAGCTTCTATTCTGAGCACTTTAAATATATGTGTATTAACTCATCTAATCCTCCCCACAAGGCTGCAGGGGAGGGGTTGTCATTATCCCCATTTCACAGATGAGGAAACGGAGGCACAGCAAGAGGACGAGACTTGCCCATGTATATGCCGTGTTTTGCCATGTATAACACACACTTTTTGCCCAAATTTTTGAGGGAAAAATAAGGATGGGCAGTATACATGGGTAGTACTAATTCCGTGTCTATACAAATGTTTATATAAAATGTGGGTGTGCATTATACATAGCGAAATACATAGTCTCTGTTAAGTGGCTGGGCTGGGATTTGAACCTAGGCATTTTGGCACTTGACCCCTCTGCTGTACCTCCTCCTATAATCATGGCCACACATTTACGACTGAGCATTGACTGCATGTCGGGTCCCGTGCTCAGCACGTCTATTTGCGACCTCACTGGATTCTCATGGTTCAGAGAGGTAACGCCACCTTCCCGGGGCCACGCAGCTGGCTGAGGCCTGGCACCTGAGCCCGTGGGACTGGGGAGCCCACAGTAGCAACCAGAATGGGACTAGATTGCCCAGGTCTGCCCTGCGACCCGCCCACACATCTGCTCTCCATGCCCCACTGGACACTGGCCGTGTTTTAAGGACAGGCCAGCCTTCTGTTTTCGGAAGCGGAGCAGGGAGGTGGCTGCTCGTCCTGCTGGCCCAGCCACCTGGAGGGGAGCCAGCTATCACATGAAGCAAATGTCAATAAACGCCGCGGGCGGTCACCAGGTGAAAGCACAGGGCCAGGCAGCCTGGGAGAGGCCAGGGAGGGCAGCGCGCCTCCTGCTCATATTCTTAGGGAAGGGAAGGGAAGAGCCTCAGGAGGGTGTGGGAGGGTGTTAGACCCCAGGCCCGGGACAGGGGTTCCTTTGGCTGCCATCCTGCTGGGGCTTTCACAGGGGAAGCCCCACAGCTAACCCTCAGACAGAGAGCCTGGGGCCAGGGTGACATCACCCTGCGATCTGGAACCGGAGGCCCAGGGACAAAAGTTGCACAGGTAGAGCCGTGCAGGACAGAGACACAGGTCTGTGGGCTGCCCACCGCGGTTAGGAACCCACGGTCCCTCCTGCCCGCCTCCCACCCCTTCGCCTGCGTCAGCTGTAAGGGGGAGGGAACGAGCAGAGGGCTCCTGCAGCTCCCGGGAAGACAGGGTTTTCTGTGCATTTTTGCGTCACATTTCATCTACAGTTGCAGGGGTTTGGAACTCTCTTGCTGGGCCTGGGGACAAATCCTGGTGGCCTCCCATTCACTCCGGCTCCAGGTCCAGGGAGGCCTGTCTCCGGGTTCGCTGTCTAACCCCAGAGCTGGCAGCACATCCTCCAGCAAATGGGGGCGAATGTGCCCCATCTTTTTCCTTCCTTTTCCCAGACCCCCTTCGATGACACTCGCGGCACTTCCAGCGCACTTGGCCCCATGAGGGCGGCTTCCTCAGTGCCTTGCTCACAGCAGCAGCCCGGACGGGTGCCGGGTGCGTGGCAAGAGCACAGCAGATCTTGGCAGAGAGATGTCATGTTAGTGACCCTGTGTCCGAATGGCCTCACCCACAGGTGACAGGCTCACACACAGTAACAGCACCGGAATATTAACTAAAATTCCTGGAGTGCATAGAAGGTGCTGAACACCGAGCTAAATGCTTCCCAAGCATGTTTTTATTTAACCTTCACGACAGCATCCCCTGCTCTTCCCCACAGAGGTTCCTGGTATCATGGTCCCATTTTACAGATGAGGAAACTGAGGCTTAAGGCATGATGTGACTTGTTCAAGGCCACCAGCTTGTGGGTTCTGAACCCAGGTGTGTTGGAACTTCAAGCCCAGTGCTCTGTCTTATGCCACACACCTGTGCAAAAAGAAGTGATTAACAAATACAATAAAAGAAACAACCCAGAGTCTCTCCCCGAAGAAGTCTCTGCCCTCACAATCCTGTGAAGGTGATGCTTCTTTATGGAGCTCTAGCGTCCTCCTATTATTGTCCCCAAAATTCTCTCCAGGGGATCATGTCCTCTGACCACCTCTGTGAATGATCATAGTAATCATAATAACAATGAAAATAGCAAAGATTGAATGTTTTGTACCAGTTGTGTTTTGTAGATGTCAATTTATTTAACCCTCACCCAAGTTGCTCTAAGAGGTTTATTATCTCCACTCACAGATGATAATATTGAGGCCCAGAGAGGTCCAACAGGTGGGTCAAGGTCACATGGCTACTAAGTGACAGAGCAGACACTCACATCCTGGCAGCCTGGCTCCTGACCGCTGTGTGACCCTGGGACGAGCAGCCGGAACAACAGAACAGTAATGACCCCACTGCTGGACGTGGCCCGCTCGGCGCCAAGCTCGGCGGCGGCTCCCGCCTCCCACGTTTAATCCTCTTGGCAACCCCGAGAGGCAGCAGTAGGTCGTTCACCCGCTTTACGCGGAAAACCTCTACTCTTAGCTGCTGGCAAGGATGTGCCTCCATTCACTCATTCACTCACTTGTTCAATCATTACATATTTATTAATTCTTACATGCGATGCTCCAGCTGAGGGGCCGAGAGGAAGCAGAGCGTGGATGAGACAAACGTCTTTGCTCTCCTGTCTGTCAGTAAACAAAGAATCACATCATTAGTTAAAGCACTTGTAGGTACTGAGAACTTCCGTGAAGAAAGCACAGGCCCCTGGCTACCTCTGTGGTCCGGTTTCCTGCCACCATCCACCCCTGGCTCGCTGGGCTGAGCCCCGGGGACCCCCTCTCTGTCCCTCAGACAGAAGAACCACATACATTCCTATCTGAGGACTCCCCCCAACATCCTCTGTGTCACCGCTGCCTGTGACCCTTCCCCCAGATCACCACAGGGCTGGTCTCTCCCTTCGTTTGTGACTCGACTTAAATTTCACCTACTCAGAGAAACCTCTTCCAGTCACTTGATCTGCAGTCACAGCTTCTCACAGCAGCCGACTCCCTTTCCTTCATGGCGCTTGCCCTGCCTGATCAGTGTGCATTACACCTCTCTCATTTTGTTACCTGCCTCCTGCATTAGAACGTAAGGGCCATGAGGGCTGAGGGCAGGGACTTGCGTCTGAAAGCAGGCCTGTGTCATTGACCCCTAGAACAGCACCAGGCACATACACCGGGAGGCAGG